TAAGGTTCAGATAACTGATAACAATCTAAAGCAATGGTTCTCACCCCAGGGTGCACATCCGAATTGCATGGGGAGTGGAGATTTACATCATTGAATTCCATTTCAGACTTCATGAATCAAAATCGCTAAGCATAAGAACCAGGGATTTTTATTTCTTAAAAGCCCATACGCATTCCCTATTAAGAATTACTGACCTTCCATTGAATCTGCATTTTAATAGGTTCAAAATCTGCAACTAAAGCCACTAAGATCAACTGAAGAATGTTAAGTAGCTATGAAAGAGAACTGCAGAGAGGCAAGAATTCCCAGCACATAGTGGGTGGAGGGCTTTGGCGCCAAGTCCCTTGCCTGTAGCAACTACATTTTTTTAAAAACAATATTAAAAATCTTATAAAGTATTTTCTCTCTGAAAACCACATGTTCTTTACAAAAAAAATATAAAGAAAATTAAACTATAAGAACTGTTAACATTTTGGCCTATTTTCTTCTATTTTTGGCAATTATTGTTTCCATTACAGTTTACACCTGATAGTACTTTGTATTAGTTTTAGATGTACACTTAGTGATTAGACTTTACAAAGGGATCATACAATACTTCAGGTACCCACCTGGCATCATACATAGTTATACCTATGTATACATAGTTATACAAAGTAATTATTTTTGTTTTATGTTTATTTATTTTTATAAAATTGGCCTTATCTTTTTATGTATTTTTTCCTACCAGGAAACATTCATTTTGTTCTATGAATGTAAGGTCTATATTTCATTCTCTCTCTCACATGCACACACTTAGGCATACACACACACACACACACACACACACACACACACAGTGCCTCTAATGTTCCATGTGCTCAGAAAACATGTACAGACTGAGTGAATTTGGCGACCCAGTTTTGGACTCCTTTCTGGGCATTTGCAGAAACATAGTAACAAGGATTATAATGATTTATATTCCTTGCTTTTTCAACTAGCTTCAAGAGATTGTATTTTTAGAATAATTATGTAAAAAATATAAAATAGAATTATTAAATACAATTTGAGTAGCTCTTTGCTCTTCCAAAGTAACTCAATAGTGATTTTTAAATTAAACAAAAATCTATCTTCTAAGAAATAAGGCTTCTGCTTTTATCTTATTTCTTCCAAACAGCATCAGTTCCAATGCTCTTCAGCAACTACAACACTCAGGATTAAGTTTGGTTGCATAAATCAGAAATCCCAAATCATAGTTAGTGGCTTAATCAAGAAGAAGCCCAGAGATAGAGCCTAGAGCCCGCATGGTGGTTCCATGGTCAGTCAGAAACTGAGCTCCTTCTTTCTCTCTGTGCTGCCATCTTTTGTATATAGCATCTCTCCTTAATGTCTACTCATCATCAAATATGATTGTTGGAGTACCACCTTTACATCCATATTCCAGTCAAGAAAGCTCAGTGGATAGTGTTGGCCTGCAGACTCAAGGGTCCCAGGTTCGATTCAGGTCAAGGGCATGTACCTTGGTTGGGGGCACATGTGCAGGAAGCAGTTGGTCGATGTTTCTCTCTCATTGATGTTTCTAGCTCTCTATCCCTCTCCCTTCCTCTCTGTAAAAAAATCAATAAAATATTTAAAAAAAGAAAGAAAGAAAGAAAGAAAGAAAGAAAGAAAGAAAGAAAGAAAGAAAGAAAACAAAAGGAAAGAGGAAAGGGGACAAGACAGAGCATCTTGGCTGAATTAATATTCTTTAGCCAGCAGTCCCATGATTTCTGTTCCATCTCACTTGAGTTCTAGCTTTAAGGGAACCTGGGCAGTGTGGTCATATGCAATTAGGAATGTAATCAGGGTTTTGTTGATAAGAAAAAAAAATAAACAATAGATATTTCCCAGACACCCAGTAGGCTCTACCTCCACAGCAAAGTCATTATGTCAGTTAACCGTTAAGATGCTTTTGGCTAAATACCTAACACTAAATACCTAACACCAAATAGCAAAATACCTAACACTAAGTGGCTTAAACAGTAAATTTCCTCTTACATACTAAGTCAGGGTGGTTCAGAGTTGGTTCAGAAGCTCAAGGATGTTATCAAGGCCTGGGCACCTTTTATCTTCCTGCTATGCCATTCTTCAGATATTAACAGCACCTTTGTTTATGGACAAATGATGACTGCCTCATGCCTCACGTTACAACATCCACACGTATGAAGGGACAAGTTGGGGCTGAATATGTTAGAAGGTACATTTTTGGACAAAATTAGGGCTCTGCCACCAAGGAAGAATGGAGGTACAGTCAGCAGGGTGGTGGGAATAAGACTGTGGAGGGATCACGTGTGTGTCTGTCTCACTGATTCTGTTTTGTTTGTTTGTTTGTTTTTAATATATTTTATTGATTTTTTTTTTTTTTTTTACAGAGAGGAAGAGAGAGGGATAGAGAGTTAGAAATATCGATGAGAGAGAATCATTGATCAGCTGCCTCTTGCACACCCTTACAAGGGATGTTCCCGCAACCAAGGTACATGCCCTTGACTGGAATCGAACCCAGGACCTTTCAGTCCGCAGGCCGACGCTCTGTCCACTGAGCCAAACTGGTTTCGACGGATTGTGTTTTATAGAACACAGTGATTTATAGCTGTTCTCCTGAGTAAACATCCTTAGGAAGTTCTGTGACACCTCACTCATCACTTAAGCAGCGTTTTCTTTCAAAAAGGGCAAAATACAAGCTTGAGATCAGACAATGAGTCATTAAACATTAACACATAGCCGCAGACTTCTGTTTCTGTGATGGTAGGAAAATAAGAGGAACGTTACCTTTTGATGAATGGTATCAGCACTCCTCATGTGTTAGACTTTTAACATTACAATGGCATTGGGGGAAAAGTAGATTTTTAAAAAGTCCCAATTATTCTAAAATTCAAATAGTATAAAATAATTTGCAATTCTCCCACATAAAGGAAAATACATTTTCATTGGTGGTTCCATTTAAACTTCTAAGGACATTATCTGGTCAATATAAAGTTATCCTTTATCCCTCCACGCCCTTCCCCCTCCCAATAATAACATTGTTTCTGTGCCTTATCCTTTGACCTAAATAAATCAATCCAGCCTTGGATTTGGAAGATTTGAATTTTCTTAGCTCTAATCAAAATATATTTGACCTGAATTCTCAAAATCTAGGTCCATGGGGTTTGAGACTTAGATTATCCTTGATTATGGAAAGGAGTGAACCCACATGGAAGAGTTAAGATCCTAGAGACTGAGTGTGTGTGTGTGGGGGGGGGGGGGGGGGAGGCATGGTGGCAAGTTCTACAAGGTATTCTATCCACTTCCATCTAGCTCTCTGCAAGTGTCTGGCCATCGGATGCAATGGCGGCATGCATGCTTCTATTGAGACTGAACCTCAAGCACTGTGGCTTGTAGAGGATGCTCTGGCCAATAGATTTCTATGGTGGCATCCTTGGAGCACACCCAAACACTGGTGCTTGGAGGTAGATCACATGGTTGAAGAAACATCACAAAAGATGGCAAATATCATGAAGTCAGGGCCCTCCTTTTCTAGAATCAAGTAAGTTCTTGGATTCTCATGATACAGTGGGGACAGGGAGGTGGTCTCTACATAACAAAGACTGGTGGTGGTTATGCTATATTATTCTTTGTTACTAACAACTGCTATAATATCGAAGACACTGTACCTGCCCTAGAAACATCATTTCTCAGTCTTTCTCATATGTGTGACCAATGAGTATAAAAGGAAGTCAGGAAGCCCTTTAGAAAAAGTTTCTTTGCTCTCTGGACTTTCCCTTCTTCCTGCCGGATATAAAGAAATTATGTTGGAGATCCGGCCGCCATCTTTTAACCTGGAGGATGGAAATTGCTCATTCAAGATTACAGAGTAGAAATATAGGAAGTGCTTTGGTTCCTGGTGACTTCCTACCTAGAGCATCTGTACCAGCTTAGGGCTGCCTCTCTCAGAATTCTACATGAGAAATGAATCTTTATCTATTTTAGCTTTGTGGTTTAGTTGGGTCTCATTGGCAGAAACATCAACCTCCTAACCAAATAACTGTCACAACAGCCTTGGAGCTAGTATTATGACTGATCCCATTTGTTTTACATGATTGGAGGCTGATAAATCATAGAATCAGAATTCAAATACTGTTTTGTCTAGCTGTAAGGCACATATTTTAATTATCAAGCATTCTAGTAAATCGGGCTGGTACAGATAAGGTTAGACATGTGTAGGGGTGGGAGGGAAGCAGTACAGAGATCAGAGCAAGAACGAGGTAACCAGAAACCAGTGGAGATGTGTGTGTGTGTGTGTGTGTGTGTGTGTGTGTGTGCGCGCGCGCATGCGCGCACGCAGTAACAAAGGCCCAAGAAATATAATTACTCTGATGAGTGATGCTCCATCTGCTTTTTAGCCTCAATCATTGCACTTGAAGTATTTCTGAGCTTGAAACCTGAAGCCAAAATTAGAAGTATGCCTAGGAGTTAGTCACCTAATTGAGTTCATGTAGTTGCCAATCCTGATAAGTCAAATCCCAGAGAAGAAATTTTGATTCAAATTAACTAGCTTAATTGTCTGTGAAATCCAAATTGACCAAATAATTGCAAGTTAATCCTTTCATTTAATGCTAAGTAGATCCTCCTACGCCCACCCTGATTGGAAATGTGCGATTTGTATCCTTGGCGTTCTTGCCTCTGGGTAACAGGTAGGACTCCTTTCACCCAGTGTGCAGTGCAAATGTCACAGGATGTTTGGGGACATTTTGGGTGGTCACAACTGGGCGACGTTACCATATCTAATGGGTAGAGGCTGTGGATGCTGCTAAATATCCTGCAATGCACAGGACACTGCCCTACAACAGAGAATTAGGCCACAACATGAATAGTGTTGGTACTGTGAAACTATGTTCTAATCAAATGGTTCCTAGTGAAAGGAGAATTAGGCACTTTAACCTGTCCATGGCAGTCCAATTGGTTATTTTAGGCTCCAGAGTACTAATGTTCATCAAATTAAGCATGAGATTGATCATACTTTATTTCACTTTTTTTCCATTGTAGTTGCAGCCAAGAAGTTAGCTGATGGGCATCTAAAATCCTTCATCCTTTCTGTTGCAAGTCTCTGTGTTTACTGGAAGGTCATTAAGCTGCTGTGCTTTTGAAGTCCATTTATTACTTCTAAATCCAGTGCAGTCTATTTAGTCTTTCTTAATGCTGTCTGGTGAAACATTAATGAGGAGCTCACGCATAGTCATAGAATTTGTCTGATTACCTCATTAATTTTTAATGAGTTTGCTGCTTACACTTCAGGATAACATAACAGGAATTGGGTAATGTAATTCTTTCAGGGTGGAGTGCCCCTAAATTTGGTTCTACATTATTAATCATGTAGGCTGAGGACATTAAAGAGGCTTTTGCCCATAAATTTGCCTACATCTTTAGCATCATTTCATCTGTATACTGTTCCCAGAAATTTCTTTTAATCAATTATTGTAACTGAAGACATCCAATTTTCTTCAGAGTGAAGTCTTCAGAAGTCAAAAATCTGAGAAATTGAGCTTCATCATGAGATTGAAACTTGAGCCCACTGTTGAGAAGCATTATAACCACATCAGTTTCTTAAGAAGAAAAGCCCATCGTTATTTTAAATATCAACGTGTGGCTTCTAGAACCCAGAAAATATCTTTAATTCAATCTATTTTTGTACCTAGATAGTCTAAGTTTATTATGCATTGTTTCAAAATTCTCATCTTATGGATTTGGAGCATAAAATGTCATTAACATGCTCCTAGCATTGCAGCTATTGAATAATCGAAGTCCCAGGGTGGCGGTGATTATAAGATTACTCAGCCAGTAAAAGTTTATTTTACAACTGGAAACGTCTCAGCACAATAAAGATTAAATTAGTTGTTCTAGTCAATAAACCTAGAACTTCTGCATCCCAGCCCTTTTCTGAGAGGGCTGGCAGCAAGTCCTTTCCAATAGAGCAAGAATAGTAATGAAGCCGAGACCGGTTTGGCTCAATGGCTAGAGTGTCGGCTTGGGGACTGAAAGGTCCCGGGTTCGATTCCGGTCAAGGGCATGTACATGGGTTGCGGGCACATCCCCGGTAGGGGGTGTGCAGGAGGCAGCTGATCGATGATTCTCTCTCATCGATGTTTCTAACTCTGTATCCCTCTCTCTTCCTCTCTGTAAAAAATCAATAAAATATATATATTAAAAAAAAAAAGAATAGTAATGAAGTTCAGACTGTAAAGATTACGAAGACTACCACACATTCCTGATTCTACCCGCCCTAAGTACCCGGTGCCAAAAGACAACCACAAGCTAATTTCTGCCCATGGATGGCAGCTATACATCAATTCAGGCTGTGTTCGTGTGGTTAGCATCCAATCAGTCCAGAAGTATGATGAGGGGGTCCAGTACCCCCCAGCCTCTGTGAATCCAGCCACCGTTTCTCTCAACCAAAACCTACTGGTCTGACTGGAAGCTGGAGGAATCAAGGTGGAGTGGGTGCTTTGTGCACCACTTTGCTGGTTGGCTTTAGTAGAATCGCAACAAATAAGGCAGTAGAGCTGGTCGTGCAGATCAACGAGTGCCAGAGGTCTACCTAGTCATGCCCTTTTGCTGCATCAGTTGCAAAATAGACCCAGAAGTCAAGTGGAGATCTAAATATGGAATTTACTGCTAGTAAAGCTGGACTAGAATCTGGAGAAGTCATGCTTCCTGCTCTTCTTTCCTGGGATGCACCCCGAGGGAGGGCCCTCTGCCGAGAAGGGCTTGCCCTTGTGCTTGTCACCCGAGGTGAGGAATGTGTGCGTCCTGTGGGCAGGCTGGTTGAGAAAAGATAGATGCCAGCAGCTTAACACACTTCCAGAAATCTCACCATGGGAAGAAGCCAGCAAAAGAGTAGGGGCAGCCCTAACCAATTTGGCTCAGTGGATAGAGCATCAGCCTACCGACTGAAAGGTCTCAGGTTAGATTCCAGTCAAGGGCATGTACCTGAACCTCCCAGTAGGAGGTGTGCAGGAGGCAGCTGATTGATGTTTCTAACTCTCTATCCTTCTCCCTTCCTCTCTGTAAATAATCAATAAAATATATTTAAAAACAAAAACACAGACAGCTTTAAAAAAAAAAAAAAGTAGGGGCAGGGGCAGAAGCTTCCATCAATGCCTCCAAGATCCTGGAATTAAGTTCCCACCTTACGAGTCAGGGCTGGGAAGCCAAGAGGAGAGCATGATCCCCACCTCCCCACACATCTCATTGCTTTGTAACAGGGACTTCATTTTTCCAGTTTTTACTAGTTAGGCTTTACATATAGAAACATAAATAGTTTTTATCCTCAAAACAGACTTGGCTTTTAAGACCACTTGAAATACACTATTGAATCGATGGTTCAGACAGGATTGGAAAAAAAAAAATTCAACACCATCAACCTGTGCTTTTTTTTTTTTTTTTTTTTTTTTAGAGATGGCTTGATTATGTTAACTTGAATTATTGGGTAATTCTGCACTGTCTCTTGCCTTTGGTGACAGGTTAAGATTAGACCCTGAAATAATCACGTGGTAAAGGAAGCTTGGGAATCATTTTGAACAGAGGTTCTCAATTCTGGCTGCACCTGAGCCTCACCTGATGAGCAGCACTCAAGAAAACCTGACTGGCAGTCCCTATCCCCAGAGGCTCTGATCTAAGGGATCTACAGTGCGGCTCAGACATTGGTATTTGCGGAGTCCCCGGCAGGGCCTCCAAATGTGTAAAAGGATCTCTCCTTCTGACAGATGCAGCCCCGAGCTGAGGGCTGTGCTCTGCCCCCCACTCCTCAGCAGGGCCTTTTGATCAGTATAAATGGCACAAGAGTGCACAGAGGCCCTGCTCCTGGGGCCCTATCCATAGGAGTGGGAAGTAAAGCCCTGAGCTGGTAAGTCTGGAAATAGAAGGGCAACTGAATTGAGCAGAGCCACAGAAGGACTGAATTAGAGGCAACAAGCCAGGGTTTGGGAAGGGGGTGTTTGACCTCAGAGACTTCGCTGGCTGGGTCTCCATGCCCTGCTTCCTAAAAAATACCGTATAATGGAGTGTTGAGTCTCTGTTCCAGCTCTTGGGAACTCGAGAGCTGGTTTTGTTCCATCTAACCCAAGTACTACTGTGGGGAGGGTGTTAGGTGAAGAACTAGTTTTCTAGTTCCAGCAGGGGTGGTAAAAGTGGCATTTCCTCCCTAAATATGTGTGGCCTTATATCCAGAGACCTAGATTCACAAAGCAAAGGGAAAGCAAAGCAAGCTTTGTTATTAACTCTCATCCTCTCAAGACCCAGTGGGAAGAAAGGAGAGGATCCCTGACCCAAGGCAGGGAGGGGCTGTGGGAGATGGGGTGTGGGTTAAGGAGTAGAGGCTCTCACCACTCCTGGCAGGATTTGGGGGCTTGCTCATAGGGAGCTGTTTTACTTCCTCAGGGTTCATGGGGAAACTGGCTCCTTCTTTGGCTCAAGGAGCTGTAAACAGAACTTCATTCCTTTGGCAGATCTTAGTGAGCGTAACACCGGAACTTGGACTGTGGCTTAATCAGTGGTTCTCAAATTTGAGCAGGCAGAAGAATGACTTAGAGGGAGTGTTAAAACCCAGATCGCTGACCTTCCGCCCCCAGAGTTTCTGATTATTTGGTCTAAGATGGAGCCTGAGAATTTGCTATATTTATACTGGCCTGGGGACCACACGTTGAGAACCGCTGCTTTAGGCAACCTGGGAGCCACTCCGGTCTCCCTCTTGCAAGGCAGTTGCAATATCCTTGGGCTACTAATGTCCTTCGGAAAACTTCGGAATCCACTTGTATTTTTGTGTGGAAGATATGTCTGCACTTTCGGTTTCCTCAGGATTAATACACGGTGTTGTTAGCCAAAGATAAATTTGTCATTCCATTAAGCTACAAATACAAAAAGGAAAAAAAAATAATCTCACAAAAGTTGACCTTTAATTTGACGGATTAATATCACAGATAAAGATCACATTGAGATTTGTGCCTGCATATCTTCTTTGATAGTTTGAAATGTTCCAGATGGTGACCATTAGTATACTAGTAGATGCCCTTTTCGGCACTTGTTGTCAGGAGACATTTTAACTTTTTTGCATTATGAATAATGCCTCAACGAGCATATTTAAGAATAATTATTCCCCCCCCCCCCCCCAGCATTTTGGGATTGCAGACACAGCTAATGTCAGGCTGAGTGAAATTGCACTTACCCTGGGTTCTCCAGAGAAACAGAACCCATGGGATCGAAAAGAGGGTATATTATCAAGAATTGGCTTTTGCAATAACGGAGACTGAGAATTCCTGCAGTCTGCCATCTGCAAGTTGAAGACCCGGGAAAGTCCAGGGTGCGATCCAATCAGCATGTGAAGGCTTGAGAACCAGGAGAGCTGAGGAGGTAACTCCCAGGCTGCTGGCAGGGGAAGATGAATGAGATATCCCAGCTCAAGCAGTGGCTCGGAGGAAAGAGGGACACGTGCCTCCTCTTTCTTCTAACCTTTATTCTGTTGGGTCCTCAGTAGGTTGGGTGATGTCCAGCCATGCGGGGAGGGCCAGCTACTTTACTCAGTCCACTGATTCAGGAGCTCATCTTATCCAATATCGCCCTCATAGACATACCCAGGAATCGCGGTTAACCAGATATCTGGGCATCTCCTGATTCAGGCATATGCACATTAAAAAAAAAAAAAAATTCTCTTCTAAGTAAATGGTTCTCACCATCCTCCAGCATTCAGTCCTGGAGCCTTGTTTGATTGTGACTACATTCCATAGTTATTCATTCAAATAGTATTTATTGAGCATCTACTGTACTTCAGTGCTAGATGCTGGGGATAAAGTGGTGTCCAAGACAATAATGTCCCCTAATTTTATGGAACTCAATGAAGATGAGAGAGAGAGAGAGAGAGAGAGAGAGAGAGAGAGAGAGAGAGAGAGAGAGAGAGAGAGAGAGGGAGAGAGATTGGATCAAATAATTGCAAACCATAATACTTGCTAAGTGCTGAGTGGTCACTGAGGAAGGTCTCTCCAAGGAGTCAGTTAAGCTGAAACTGCGAATAGGGAGTACCCAGCCATGCTGCTATAGATAGAACATCCCAACTGAAGGAACTGCACATGCAAAGGCCCTGTGGTGAGCAACAGTTGCAGGTAGAGAATCTGAAGGAAGAACAGTGAGCTAGAACTAAGGAACAGTGGAGAGAGAGGGGCAGGATTTAATAGTAAAATGCTCTGGAAGCCATGATAAAAATAAAAAAATGGGCTGTTGTTTTCAGTGAAATTGATGGGTTGTAACCAGGGGAGATATGTAATCAAATTTTTGTTTTAAGATCACTTTTTCTGAGTGCAGAATGGGTTAAAGGAGGAAGTATGGAAACCAATTAGAAGATCATTGTGGTCTCCAGGCAAATGACAGTGAAAATTGGACTAAGGGAGTGTATGGAGATGGTGAGTAAGGGGCAGATGATGAGTAAAGGAAATGTATTTGGAGTTAAACTCAGAATTTCCTGATACGTGGGGATGAGTGAGTGAAGGAAAGGGAGTAATCATATATGACTCAGATTTCTGGCTTGAAAAGTGGAGGGAGTAGTTATATAAGTTACAGGCATGGGTGAGACTTGGAAAGTGAGGAAAAGATTGTCCATGAGGCAAATGAAGTGGCTCTTCCAGAGTGGTTTTCCAGGCGCCCCTCTAAGGAAGCCTGCCAGGGGGAGATGAGGGAACAACACCCAGTGTTCTCCTGCCCCCATGATCTCTTTCCTTTGGAATTCTCCCCCAAACCAGGCTACAGGCTACAATAGTCTCCCTGGTTACCTCTCACACCATACAATAGCCCCTATCTACTTTTTCTTGCTACTTCTGTAGCTTTTAGGGATTTTCCTGTTAAGTAAAAAGGGAAAACAGACAGATATTAAGAACTGTAAAAAGTTCCAACTCCTGGTTCCCTTCTTACATTCAGTCATGGTAAGTGGAAGACCAGATGAGTCCCATACTTTGAGATTTTACTTCTAAGAGGAAACTTAAGTAACTTTTCCATCTTAAACCCTCTTGTCTTTGAACTTCCCCTTGGATGTCAGCCCTAGGTCTGATAGACTGTTTTCTCTCTCTCTCTCTCTCTCTCTCTCTCTCTCTCTCTCTCTCTATATATATATATATATATATATATATATATATATATATATATATATAAAATTCTAATTTGATTTCAGAGGAAGGAAGAGAGAGAGAGAGAGAGAAACATCAATTATGAAAGAGAAACCTTAGTCATTAATTGGTTGCCTCCTGCATGCCCCCTACTGAGGAAGGACCGTCATTGCCTCTTCTAGCTCCTGAGATCCTCAGGTGTTGACTAGTGACAACATCACTCCAATCTAGCCTTCATATTCACATTGTGGTCTTCACTCTGTGTCCGTCTGTGTCCAAATTTCTTTCCTTCTTATACCATAAAGCACCAGTTACATTGGATTAAGGACCTGCCCTATTCCAACATGGCCTCATTTTAACTTACCTACTTATATCCTCAATGATCCTATTTCCAAAGGAAATCCCCTTTTGAGGGACTGGAAGGCCAGAGCTTCAACACGTCTTTTTGGGAGGGACACAACTCAACCCATAACAACTGTGCAATTTGCATTTCTTTTCATTACAGACCACATGACATCTATCTTTAGAATTTTTCTGCCTGCCACCCATAGCAGACCGTGGTGGAGTGGTGCCATCCTAGCCTGGTAGCCTCAGGAACTTCCTGGGGTTCCAGAGGTGATATACTTGTATAGCTTACCTCACCGTGTCATATATAATTAGTGTGCCTGCTTATAATTTTTAAAATAGTTTTATTGATTTCAGAGAGGAAGGGAGAGGGAGAGAGATAAAAACATCAGTGATGAGCCGGGACCGGTTTGGCTCAATGGATAGAGCGTCGGCTTGGGGACTGAAGGGTCCCGGGTTCGATTCCGGTCAAGGGCATGTACCTTGGTTGCGGGCACGTCCCCAGTAGGGGGTGTGCAAGAGGCAGCTGATCGATGACTCTCTCTCATCGATGTTTCTGACTCTTATCTCTCTCCCTTCCTCTCTGTATAAAATCAATAAAATATATTTAAAAGAAAAAAAAAAGCATCAGTGATGAGAGAGATTCATTGATCGGCTGCCTCCTGCATACTCTACACTGGGGATTGAGCCTGCAACCCGGGCATATGCCCTGGTTCCTAGGTGGACACTTAACCACTGAGCCATGCTAGCTGGGCTATGGTCATGTTTTTTGTGAAAAATAATAATTGGACATGCTGAATGTTTGTGTCGGTCTGATCAGTGAATGTTTTCCACGTAGGCGGACTACATGAGACATCAAATCATCAGACACTTGTTTGGAAGGAATAGAAAAAGCTGGCGGTGTGGGGGTGGGAGACAGATTTATAATTTGGTGGCTTCCACCCAGGACTACATTAAGAAGGCGATTAGAAGGGCCCCATCTGTGATCAGTGCTTAGATGGCACTGTTGGTCTTGTCCCTGACAAGTGATTTCTACATCCTTGGCTGACCAAACCTTCCCCTGACCCAATAATTTAGATACACATTAATATCTTCAGTTTGATTAATGCCTGTTCTTACCCCCTTGGGAACCATTTGGTCCTGTTAGGTACTTACTAATCTCTGCTCTGATCCATTAGGAATCCATTCCTAGTTTAACTCTGAGGAGGCAACTTCATTTCCGTGATTTGGAGAGAAGCAGGGGCAGCCACACTAAAGAGATTTTGCTTTTCTTCAGTTTCCTGGCCTTCAATAGAGCAAAGAGAGGGGTATTCTGATGGATCAGAGGGAAAGGAGGCAGAGGCCCCAGGATGGGGGCTACCTTGTTGGGACAGTACACTACAAACTCTCAGGAATGTGGGGAGATGATAGAAAAACCCAAAGGAAGCCCTAACCGGTTTGGCTCAGTGGATAGAGAGTCAGCCTACGGACTGAAAGGTCCCAGGTTCAATTCCGGTCAAGGGCATGTTCCTTGGTTTCGGGCACATCCCCAGTAGGGAGTGTGCATGAGGCAGTTGATCGATGTTTCTCTCTCATCGGTGTTTCTAACTCTCTATCCCTCTTCCTTCCTCTCTGTAAAAACTCAATAAAATAGATTTTTTTTTAAAAAAGAAAGAAAAACCCTAAGGAAATGAGAGATAAATGAGAATGAAATCCAACCTCGACTTGTAATTTTCTCCTGGAGCCAGTTCTAGCAGTATCCTCTGCCTCTTTGCAAAGAGCAGCTAGTGAAAACTGAGATGACAATGATTTTTTTTTCCCCTTGTAAATCTGGGCTCAGTTTGAGACAGAATATTAATGGCAAAAGGCTCAATATCTCATTACCATTCCCCCTGGGCATGTAGTCCCCAGAAAAGATAAATATTTGAATAGATGATGATAATATGTATGATAATTTGTGGTCATCATTCCACATGCATTTTAATTGGGTCTTTTATTTTAAACTACTGCTCCTGAGTGAGAATTGCAGGAATTATATACTTGTACATATATTTTGAATTCTGGACTCAGGATCCGAGGATCATTAAGCCCAAACACTTGCCTTTGAAAAAGACAGCCTCCTTATTGATTTACCCAGGAGAGGCAAAAAGACAATGTTTAGATTCTTTCCCTTTTTTCTTTCAGTTCATTGAGTAAATATAGATTGAGGCTTATACCAGTTTTTCCTCAAATTTTTGCTTGAAGGTGAACTTGAGGTCACCTTAATAGCTATCAAACCCTTATTGTGTTGGAAAACTTTGCCCAGTTTCCTGTTTGAAATTCTGTCTTTGGGGGAGCCTTGACCTCCTTCTGACTTCTAATTAGCTTTACTTCAAAAACAAGGGTTCAGTGGGAAGTGAAGAGTCAGAGAGATTGCCTGGGGCACGCAGGTTACAGAAATAATGCTTTTATTCCTCTGAAGCATTTCCAGGGATTAATATTGTTGTCTTGAAAATATTTGGGGCCCTGGCCAGTTTGCTCAGTGGTTAGAGTGTGGGCCAGGGTCATGGGTTTGATTCCTGATCTAGGACACGCACTTTGGTTGCAGGTTCCTCAGCTCTGGTAGGGGTGTGTGCAGGAGGCAAGCAATGGATGCATCTCTCTCACATTGATGCTTCTCTCTCCCTCCTTCCTCATCCCTCCTTTTCATCCTCTAGAACAGTGTTTTTCAACCTTTTTTGGGCAAAGGCACACTTGTTTCATGAAAAAAATCACGAGGCACACCACCATTAGAAAATGTTAAAAAATTTAACTCTGTGCCTATATTGACTATATATAAAGTAATTCTCTTGAATAGGAATCAAATAAACACAAAAAAAATATTTTATAATTACTTTATTATGAAATATTAAGTAAACAAAATAGTGAAAAATTATAAAATTCTTGTCTTGTCTGCACCTACGGCACACCAGGCAACATCTCGCGGCACACTAGTGTGCCGCGGAACAGCGGTTGAAAAACGCTGCTCTAGAAATCCATGGGGAAAAAATACCCTGAGGTGAGGATTAAAAGAGAACCAAACCTCCCAAAGAAGGTGTTGATATTTAGAAGCAGACGCAATTCGTAGGTGGATCATTGGTGGGTTTCTGTGGACCCCATGCACCTTCAGGCTCTCGGATGTATCTTTAAAGACAATTCTCACAGGATGA